AAAGAGACAAATGCAGTCATGATATTAGAATTGATCCTGGGGTCTGGCCACAACCGTAGGGACCTAGTTTCTGCGTCACAGCTTGGAAACAGTTGAGATCCCCACCCCATAACAAATTGAATACAGATATATATGCTACAAGGATTGGCCTTGGGGTCTGGCATATTCCCTTGGATCTCATTTGGAGAATATTCTGCCATGATTGCTTAGATATCAAGGTGAGCGATACAGGCCCTATGGGCCTCTTGTTTTGTTCCTGTTTACTTTTAGACTGAATTGATAAACGATATGGCTGACTGGTGACTATTTTGGATTTTGACTAAAAAGGTTTGTTATTGCTATTTCTCAAAAAGTGCTTGAGAGATCTTTCTCAAACTTTATAAGCAGGTTCCCCTTGGTCTTTAGTTGTTCATGTTTTATTTTGAGACTGATCATAAAACCAAGATTGCCGCAGGAGAACTGATAGTTTCTATTTCTTTCACATTAAGTACTTACTGTACTAGTAAGTATGTGAAACAACAAACTCACATTGAAGGTTGTCTATTATACACAGCAAAATGAAGTTTAGATCAAAAGTTTCCTCATGGTGCATTTACTGTATACGTGAATCGATCAAACTGACATAGGACTAAGGAAGATGGCAACTATGGTGGGCGTCAAGATCGCTCTGGGATCTCTTGTGTAAACTTTAGGGGTACCAAAAAGGAGTGAGAACACTGTTATTTGCAATATCACTTTTAATGAAAACGTCTTTCCATGATTGCCTTTTTATCCAGGTGGGTGATACACATTCTCTGGGCCTCTTGCAAGCATTTGTGTTGGACCAGTGTAAGATGTTTTTGTTTTTGACATTTTCATTTTGACTTTAGATACCCAATGGCACTTGGTAACCTTGGCGACCTTGAAGAGATATCGCCAACTCCCGAACGACCACAACCTATTGACCTCTTTAATGAGGCAATACAGTCAGCACTGGAGCATTACAACAACCAACATGTTTATCCCTACACATACTTGGGGGGATACCTGTACCGCAAGGGGCACCACAAGAAGGCATTGCAGGCATGGGCAGATGCAGCAGATACTGTCCGAAAGTAAGAACAGTTTCATGCACAGTATTATGTGTATCTTTTTCCATATCCTGTACAAAGTTCCAGTCCCCTCCCATCATTATTTTAGTATTTGAAATCAATCTTATTCTTCTATATATAATTTCAAAGAAATTTGGCTTATCATCATTTGGCCCATATAAGTTTATTGATGTTACCCTGGTTCCATTAAGTGAAATATCTAATATAACGTATCTTCCCTCTGAGTCTATAATTTTACTATGTATCTCAATATCTACTTCATTTCCAAAACAAATTGCTACTCCTGCACTTGATGTACTTCCATGACTAAAAATACCTTTACCACCCCATTCATCTTCCCACTGGGTTTCAATTTCTTAACAACAATGCGTTTCCTGCAAAAACATAACTGATTTTGCCCACCATCATCTGATGGTGGGCTATTCAAATCAGAGGGATCTTTCTCAAATTATATATGTACGATCCCCTTGGTCCTTAGCTGTGCAGGGCAACTTTTGAGACTGATCAGATAAACAACATGGCCGACAGGCAGCCATCTTGGATTTTGATAGTGAAAGTTTGTTATCGCTATTTCTCGGGAAGTACCAGAGGGATCTTTATCAAATTTTATATGTAGGTTTCCCTTGTTCCCCTGTTGTTGCAGCAGTGCCTGAAAAGGATGGTCGCCTGCTCGCCAATGGCGGTTGAAGTCTTGCTCGAGCGACCAAAAGTTGTCAAAAGTGAGGTAGGCTCTGGCCCAACAAAAATAGTTTGGGCGACTGTTAAAAATTAATGAATAAAAGAAATTATAGTCCCTTCCACATTAACTTGGGGGGCAGTACATTTTTCAGTTGTCATTACTTCGATTTGAAACGAACTGTCTGTGATTTAGAAATGTGATGATTTTTTCCCTCATTTTTTAGCTCATCTGGCCCGAAGGGCCATGTGAGCTTATGCCGTACTGCGCGTCCCTAGTCCGTCGTCCGTCCGTCAACTTTTCCTTTTGAATGATTTCTTCTGAAGAATTGTAGTACCTAGGGTCATGATATTTGGCCAGTAGGTACCTGAGATGGAGTGCTATAAAGTTTCCTCATTAAAATGACCTTCACCTACTTTCAAGGTCACAGCGGTCAAATATGTGAAAATTTTCAAACAACGATTTCTTCAGAACCATTTGAACTAGAGTCATGATACTTGGGTATGTTATGTAGACCAGCAGTGCGAACATTTTTCTCAGTTACAGTTATGAGGTCAAAGGTCAACTTAAAATGCTATTGGAGGGTTCAAATGTCAACTTTGGTTCAAGTCTTTAACAATCTTCTTCTCAAGTTCCATAAGGCCCAGGGTCATGATATTTGGCCAGTAGGTACCTGGGATGAAGTGCTATATAGTTTCCTCATTAAAATGACATTGACCTACTTTCAAGGTCACAGGAGTCAAATATGTGAAAATTTTCAAACAACAATTTCCTAAGAACCATTTGACCTAGTGTGATGATACTTGGGTATGGTATGTAGACCAGCTGTGTGAATTGTTTTCTTTATTACAGTAATGAGGTCAAAGGTCAACTTTAAGTGCAAGTCGGGACTCAAAGGTCAATATGAGTTAAAAGCTTTAACATTAACATTTCAAGTTTCAAAAAACAATATCTTCAGAACCGTTTAAGAGATGTTAAAATGTCTTGTGTTCTAGTTACCAAATTTGGTCTTAAGTTACCTAATTGTCAGTTGCATATAACAAAAGAAACAGGTGAGCGATACAGGCTCTCTGGGCCTCTTGTTTTTATAAATACTGCTAGGGTGTCTACTTTGAGGTGCTAGTTTTGTGTATTTCTTTTTGGGAAGACCTGAATGGAGTGGATCATGTCAGGTTTTAACTAGGGTTGAAGAATTGTTTTATTCTGTTTTACATTTTACAAACATTGTCATGTCATATGTAATTTAAATGTGCTGAAGCATTGTGTTCAATGCTATGGAAATATTTCTTCACTAAATTATTTGGGCCACCAATATGTCATTTTGGCCAGTGCTTCAAATTTTTTACTCTCCCCAAAAAGTATTTGGGGGCCAATGGAGGTTTCCCACTATCCTTCAATGTTCATGTTTACTTTTGAAACTGATCAGTTAAACAAAATAGCCTACCGATAGCCATGTATGATTTTTGACATTGAAGGTTTGTTAGTACTATTTCTCAGGAATAACTTGAGGGATGGAATTTGATATGTAGGTTCCCCTTGATCCCTTGTTGTGCATGTTATATTTTGAGACTGATCATAAAAACAAAATGGCTAAAGGAAGAACTTAACAGATCTTTCTCATATTGCAATGATTGATTCTATTTCTTTCACATTAAGTACTGTACTAGTAAATACGTGAAATGACAAACTCACTTTGACGGTTGGCTTTCATACACATCAGAATTAAGTTTAGATCAAAAGTTACCTCAATGTGCATTTACTGTTAACATGACTCGATCAAACATATTAGAGGAAAGGAGAGGAAAGATCGAACTGAAAAGAACTAATGAAGATTGTACAGTGGTGGGCGCCAAGATCCCTCTGGGATCTCTTGTTTTTATTCGCTTTTATCCAACTTTTTTTACTGGAATACAACCCTCTGACGTTCAAAGTCATCTCAAAATTAGCCATGATCTTTCATCCAAAACCTACAAAAACACACCCTTAGGTGTTCCTGTACTTGAGCCCATTTCCTGTCAGTTACGGTATAACTCCCACACAGACAAATGATATAAAACTCAACAACAATACAAAACCTATAGAAAGCATAATACCCTTGCATTTTGGATTACTGAATCAAACTACAGAGACACTGTCACAATAACGTGCATCTCTGTAAAGTCGTAAATGGTCTAATGAAGAAAAACCATCAATACATTTCGCTTAAACTTTAAAAAAAAAGAAAAATGAAGGAAAATGTTACCCAAAATGTAGTATAAGTCACGAAAATCAGCCTTCAATATGCATATCATCACCTCACTCCACCAACATAAACCTTGGAATGTGAGAAAAGTAGTTAAACATTAGGTAAATACAGCTGGAGCACAAGGGGTTCGTTACAAATGTCAGAAATACACATAGGCTGTATTGATTGTTTATGTGTGCTGTGACCCATATCAGCATAGCATATTTACACTCCAGACACCCGTAAACGAAGTTTGATATCACTATTTCTCAGAAAGTGCTTGACAGATCTTACACATGAAGGTTCCCTATGGTCGCTAGTTATGCATATTAAATGTTCTGATAATATGTACATTACTATTTATATAATCATTAATTAAAGGATGACATTAAACATAGAATATAGCACTGTTATGGTTAGTCACTAAATACCACAAATTCTTTCTATTTCATTGTCTTATCCATATGTTGTAAAGCTCTTTAGAGTAATTTTACAAATTAAATAGGGCGCTATAAAAATGTTGTATGTTATATAAATGTTGTATATTATTGGTATAAAACACTTCTGTTGGTGAACTTCTTTTGAAAAACTTGAATCCTCTTAGATAAGGTATTTTAAACATGATGTCTGAAAAACTTGACTCCTCTTAGGTAAGGTATTTTAAACATGACTGAAAAATGTATCAGTTTTGCTAACATTTTCATTCTTTCCCTTCCCAGTTACAACTATAACCGTGAGGATGAAGAGATTTACAAAGAATTCCTGGAGATCGCCAATGACCTCATTCCACACATGATGAAAATTGTTGCCAGTGACAATGCAGCACGGATTCATCACACATCTTTATTGTATGACCCAGATTGTTATGCAAACTTTTTACGGTTTTATGATGGTATCTGTGAATGGGAAGAAGGCAGCCCGACACCAGTACTACATATCACATGGGCCAAACAACTTGTCTTCTCCTTGTCAAAGTTTGACCTCAGTGTCCGGGAGCACATTGAGGTCAAAGGGGAGGGGCTTGAGGACGATTCCTCCAGTGAAGAGGAGGAAATGGAGGAGGAAGTTAATGGGCGGCGAGGAGAAGAGGGAGAGGACAAAGTCATGGATGACACCGAGCCTTCCAGTAGTCACAGACCTGGCAGAAGAGGGAGACGACCAAAAATAAACATTGAACCAGAAGGCAACATATCGGATATCAAGGTAAATGGGAAATCAAACGAGGATCAGATCAAATCAGCCATTGAGGATTTAGTTAATAAAGTTGGAGAGGAGGGACAAAGCGATACCACAAACCCCAATATTGCAGCGCTTGCTCAGGCATGCAGTGAATCCATCCTCAATCCTGAGTATCTGCTTGGGGGTGGAGACCCATTCACCACGGCAACAAGCACCACAACGGTAGCATCTTCCACCACCTCTGCCGACGCCCGCATAGATATGCATGATTTCCTCAGCTCAAAGTCAAACGGCTCACCCTTCATGGGTATGACAATGGACTCTGTGCTCAAGGCAGAGAGTCCTTCAGACATGATCATGTTTCGAAAGCGACCAAGTTCATCGACAACAAGGACGCCAACTCCTGTTTCAGAAGCAGCACAAACTTCTACTCCTGTTAACACCACTCCCTGTAACACATGCTCTTTACCCTCACTCCTCCTTGGACCCCCAACTTTGGTGTGTCTGCGCAGTGAAAAAATGAAAGGATTGAAAAAGATTTTCTCATCAGCAAAACTGAATGCTAGTGCAATAAAACTCCAACTGACAGCACAGTCTCAAGTTCATTTCAAGCACAGCAAACGCAGCACAGATTCAGAGCTTGCCACTCATCGGAAGCGATCTCGGAGGGAGTAGCACTGCCTCATCTGGTTGACATGATCCAGTTAAAAAACTGCTATTACTTGCTTACTTGATAATTCATGTCCATGTGTTTGTTGAAGAAGATATGACCCTGCAAAATTGGTTAAATGGTTTGCAGTGTTAAGGGCAGACTTACAGTATTTGGGAGTATTTAAAGGGCAGCCAGTGTGTTCAGTATGGAGGTTATGTCTGGAGGTGACAATATCTCTAGCAGGGTCAACATTTCGCGTCTTTCTACTATGTGGTGATCTTTTGTGTGATAGATGTGAGGTTGCAAGCAATTAAATAATTTGGTATGTTTGGAGCTCCTAAATCTAACAGAATTTAGTCCAGCATAACATGTGATATGCAATTCTTTCCTAGTACCTCTAAACATACAGAATCACAAACATACGTAAAATATTAACAATTTCTGCATCATATCATAGAGGGTAGAAACAATATCCTCATATTGTTGGTACATGTTAAAATTTTGTGATTTATACATATTCATATTTGTGCATCAAATCTGTTGTTTACACTACAGTGTTACCAGGAGTCAATACAGTACAAATAAAAAATGATTAAGATGTTTCTTATTAAAAAAAAAAAATCCTGACAAATGACCTAAATTAAATTGCCAATGGGCCATAGGACAACACGAAAACAAAATACTGGTTATCTTGACAGTAAATAAATAGTTAAATCATGTGATGCATATAATGAAGCACAATTCATGGCATTGTTACTATTTGTATAATATTTCTTCTCTACTTAAATGCCATTGGAACTTGTTTGTGATAATAGATTGGAATCAAGTGTCTAGTACAAAGTTTGTGGTGAGGATCCCTGGTTAGAGATGATGCAAGAAATACGTTTTTTGGTGCCACCTTTTATCATTCGTGGAATAGAAACTCCCAGATATAAATCCTAATGAATTTCTTCCAAATCTTTTGGCATAAAGCATAAAGTATACCATATCTTGTTTATTTAAACTTTTGCAAGTAGAGACCATTTCAGGAAAAATACTAAAGATTTTCCAAATTATAGCTTAAAAAGGGAAACAAAACCCACTGGTTTCCTTAGTCTGTCTGTTAACCCATTCACCCCTGAAGACACATTTTAACTCTTCCAAATCAAAAGTTGGAAAATAGTTCATTATGAAATTTCAGGGGTGAATGAGTTAAAAAAGATAACTTTAAACTTCATTAAGTAATTGAAATCTGAAATCAGTTCTTAAGCAGTCCTGATTTGTTTGGCAAGTGGTGACCAGAATAGGTTACTGCATGTATAGTTCTTGTTGATGTTATCACTTATTTTTCTCATGTCATGTGCAATTTGAAGTTTTTTATGTTTTTATCTATATTTTATATGTGAAAAAATAGTGACAAAATAATGACATTTCATCCATGTATTTTTTAACAAAAAATGCCTTATGAAATTTCTCCTGAGAAATAAGAAAGAATTTGGAATAGTTAACAGAATGAGAAATGAATAGCTATTGTACATAATTTAAATAAGCTAACTGTGCTTGATCCGTTAGCTTTAAGATTAATTTCTATACAGTTTTGGCAATATTTGATATCGCTTCCTCTGATTAATGATGATGTAATGTGAGCTGGGGGGTAAAAATAATGTTTTCAACATTAAATATTTTGCATGGAACTTTTAAAAATGTGCAAAGTGTTAAGATGATTGAAAGTTATGGAATAGAATTGTTTTTAGATATTGTTTACCTGATATTTGGTAATTGATTACAAGTTGACATTATATTTAAGATGTTGGGTCGAGTTTTGTTGCCCGGAGTGTACAAATTTTGCCATAAATGAGACCAATGATGGTTGTCATGGACCATTTTTGGTACCACACATTTGCATAAATGTGTAAAAGATGAATTGACTGACAATGTTTTATTTTTGTATCTGACCATTGTCCAAAGTAGTGGTCAGTGCAGAAGTACAGTTACCTCAGCTTATCTGTCCTGATCTGTAGCTCCACCAATCAGCCATTATCTCCGGTGATAGGTAGAATCCTTAATAGCAAATAACATCATTTTGTGTCGTCCCCTCTGACTGGTCAGTCTGTTGATTTTGTGATAGAATCAGTTATTTGTTATTTAACATCATTTTGTGTCGTCCCCTCTGACTGGTCAGTCTGTTGATTTTGTGTTAGAATCAGTTATTCGATAGTTAACATCATTTTGTGTTGTCCCCTCCGACTGGTCAGTCAGTTGATTTTGTGTTAGAATCAGTTATTCGATAGTTAACATCATTTTGTGTCCTCCCCTCCGACTGGTCAGTCTGTTGATTTTGTGTTAGAATCAGTTATTTGATAGTTAACATCATTTTGTGTCGTCCCCTCCGACTGGTCAGTCTGTTGATTTTGTGATAGAATCAGTTATGTTAACTTTTGACACTTTTGAGACTGATCGTATAAACAAAATGGCCAACAGGCGGCCATCTTAGATTTTGACAGTGAATGTTTGTTATCGCTTTTTCCAAAGAAGTTCTGGAGGGATCTTTCTCAAATTTGATAGGTATCAAGATTATAAAGTACCCTAACCCTAACTTGGTCTGTAGTTGTGCATGTTTACTTTGGAGAGTGATCATAAAACAAGATGGCCACAGGAAGTACTAACGGGATCTTTCTGATATTGTAAGGATCTATTTCTCTTACATTTAAAGAACTGTACTGGTAAATATTTGAAACATTTACTGTTTACATGAATTGATCAAACAGATAAGAGAAAAGATCAAACTGACACAAACTAATGAAGATGGTACAATGGTGGGCGCCAAGATTCCTCTGTGATCTCTTGTTTACAGGTTCTTCTGAATGACTTTGAGTCATACATATTTAATAAGACTGTTTTCCCATGGTTGCTTCATTATTATCCCCTTGCAATAAAAGTTCAAGGGGATATAGGATTCAGCTGGTATGTGTATGTATGTTACACTCTTTGTCATTTCTCTAGCGACTTCATTTCTCAACAGAATTTTATGAAACTTCATACAAGTGTTTGCCAAGACAATTCCTTCAAAAGATGCAGTCGCTGGAGCAGATACTGATATATCATTGAAGTTTCTATTCATTTCCTCCTACATATGTCACAATAGGTGAATGTGAGGGGATTTGTATCACTTGTGATGCCTTGTTCAGGTTAGCGATACAGGCCCTTTTGGCCTCTTGTTGAGAATTAAACTTTGTTAGTGCTATTCTTCAGAAAGCACTGTAGGGATCCCTATGGTCCCAAGCTGTGTAGATTGATTTTTTGGACTGATAGGAAAACCAAAATGGCCACTAGACAGCTATCTTGAAATTTGAGAGCGAAAGTTTGTTAGTGCTATTTCTCTGAAATTACTGGTGTGTTTGGCATGCAGGTTCCTCTTAGTATATAGCTGTGCATGTTTTCTTTGAGACTGATTCGAAAAACAAAATGGCAAATATGTGGCCATCTTGGATTTTGACAGTTAAGTTTTTTCATCTCTATTTCTGTGGATGTTCTGGAGAGATCTAAGTTTTAATTGTATGTTCCCTTATTCCCCTTGTTATATTATATACCCCATACTACCAAACCTTGGCATTTTATATATTACCACCATAAAGAGACAAAAACAATCATGCTTTTAGAATTGAATCTTTGGTCTTGTCACACCCCTTCGGATTAAGTTCTTGGGTGAAAACTTGGAAACAGTTGAGATCCCCACCCTCTTACAATTTACATGAATAAATGTTATTGTCCCTAGCTTCAGGTCATAACTTAAAAAATGTTCGGATCCCCACCCCATTATCATTTCTTCGTATTTGTGGGACTTATCTTATCATTAAGACTTGTTTGCCATACTACATTCATTGATGATTTTTTGCCATGATTGCTTCAATATCCAGGTGAGCGATACGGGCCCTCTGGGCATCTTGTTAGGTCACTTTATACAGTCTTAGTTGACCTGTTGTGATTGCCTTAAGTTCGTCATCATGCATCTTTTTTACTTCTCCAAAACCAATCAACTAATTTCAATAAAATTTTGCAGGAAGGTTCCATGGTCAAAGGCAAACAGAAATTCTTTGATTATACAAATTTAAATTCCTGTCCAGGGGCATGAGAGGTGGGGCCAAATTGGATAAAACTTTTAACAATAATTTTCAGACCCAGATATATTAGAATTAAATCTTCTTTGTTGATGGAAAGGTCCTAAGGTGCTTTATCAAAATTATGAATTTTGTACCCTAGGGTTTCACATATCCCTCTTTGGAGAGGGTAAAATTTTATATAATTAATGAACAATTTGAGGTATATTTTGCAATATTGCTTCGTTACTAATCTCTGGAACTAAGTCGTGAATATCAACTATATTTGGTGGGAAGCATTTTCATGTGGTAGGGATTCAAATTTTACAATTGAAGGGGTGACCCCCCGGGAAGCTGAGGGACTGGGCCAAAATACTTTTTTTTAACTTGAAAGTGATTAAGGTCCTCCACCCTTTAACCATATATACAACTACTGAGTATCAAGACACAAATAGATATCTGGCCCCACCCATGGAGACGTACCAAAGTCACTTGGTCATTCCTTTTAAATGGTTGAGATCCCCACCCGATAACCATATATACAATTGCTAAGCACAAAGCCACAGATACAGTAATGTCCCATTGAATGGATTTTACCAAATTTGGCCTGGAGCATCCTTGGGCAAAGGGGACTGAATTTTGTATAAATGGAGGGTGTGGCCCCTGTGGGGGTAGAACAGGCGGGGCCCAATGGGGGAATTTGAGGTTAATCTTTAAAATCCTCCTTCTGTACCATTGGAGGGATTTAAATCAAATTTGGCCCAGAGTATCCTTGGGCAATGAAACTTAATTTTGTATAAAGGAGAGAGTGTGGCCTCCTTGTGGGCAGAGGGGCGAGGCCAAATAGGGGGAATCTAGTAATAAATGATGAAAATTCTTTTGTATGATTTGAGGGATTTTTTACAAATTTTGTGTAGAGCATCCTTTGGCCGGTCTTGGGGAAGAAAGGCAGGGTTCAATAGGGAAACTTGTGGTAAATACTTCCGTAGCTATTGAAGGGATTTCTGTAGCTATTGAAGGGATTTTAACCAAATTTAGTTCAGAACATTCTTTGACAAAGGGAAGACAATTTTGTCTAAACAGTTGGTCCTGCTCCTTAAGTATGATTGGAGTTATTTTAACTAAATTTGGTCCTGAGCATCATTTGGCAAGGGGGACTCAATTTGTTTTAACAGAGTATGGTCCCCCATGGAGCAAAGGGGAAGGGTCTAGTAGGGGGAACAATGTAATAAATGTTTAAAATCCATCTCCTTCAGTTTATTTGGAGCGATTTTAAACAAATTTTGTGTAGAGCATCCTTCGGCAAAGGGGACTCAATTTTGTATGAATAAAGGGTTGCTTTTAAGGGGCAGAGGGGCGTGCCCAATAGGGGAAATTGAAGTTAATGTTTAAAATCCACCCCAATTCTGGGGGGCAGAAAGAAGGGACCTAATGATAGACGGGTGTTGCTGAGAGACACAGCCAATATTTGGAAATAGCTGCAGTATTATATGTAATAAGAATAATTTTTCATGGTTGCTTTTTAGGTCACCTGAGCTTTAGCTCAAGTGACCTATTGCTATCCGTTTTCGTCCGTCGTCATCCGTCGTCCGTTAACATTTTACATTTCAAACTTAAAGTCAAGTTCTGCTGGGCCGATTGAACTGAAAGTTGGTAGGAATGATCGCCTCATGGTCCTGACAAAGTGTTGTTATTTTTCGGGTCGATCAGAAATCCAATATGGCCGCCACGGCCACCATTTTGAAAACCTATTTCAAACTTAAAGTCAAGTTCTGCTGGACCGATTGAACTGAAAGTTGGTAGGAATGATCGCCTCATGGTCCTGACAAAGTGTTGTTATTTTTTGGGTCGATCAGAAATCCAATATGGCCACCACGGCCGCCATTTTGAAAACCTATTTCAAACTTAAAGTCAAGTTCTGCTGGACCGATTGAACTTAAAGTTTGTAGGAATGATCGACTCATGGTCCTGACAAAGTGTTGTTATTTTTCAGGTCAATCATAAATCCAATATGGCCGCCACGGCCACCATTTTGAAAACATATTTCAAACTTAAAGTCAAGTTCTGCTAGGCCGATTGAACTGAAACTTTGTAGGAATGATTGACTCATGGTCCTGACAAAGTGTTGTTATTTTTCAGGTCGATCAGAAATCCAATATGGCCACCACAGCTGCCATTTTGGTAAACTATTTCAAACTTAAAGTAAAGATCTACTTGGCCGATTGAACTGAAACTTTGTAGGAATGATCGAATCATGGTCCTGACAAAGTGTTGTTATTTTTCGGGTCAATCAGAAATACAATTTGGCTGCCATGGCCGCTATTTTGCTACTAAGTTCTAATAGGCCGATCTCACTTAAAATTGGTCTAGGAATGATCAGCTCATGGTCCTGACAAAGTTAAGTTAACATTATACTATTTTTTACTCAAATTGGTACATATTTCAACAACAAAAATAAATACTATAGACTCAGGTGACCGTTAAGGCCCATGGGCCTCTTGTTTATCCAGGTGAGCAATACAGGCCCTCTGAGCCTCTTCCTAGGACTATAGTGCTATTTGTTTTTGTCACATAACACATACAAAAATTGTGTTTCATTATTTGATGCAATGAAGTGCTAAGCACCATTATTTATTGTTAATTTTTGTTTTAAATGAAAATTGTCTCATGATTTTGTTTTTGCTGCAATTGACACCCCCCGCAAGAAGTGCTAGTTTTATCCGAGTGTTACATTTTAATGGACACCTGATCAAACTTTACTGTTCTCTGTTTTGTACATAAGCATTCTGTATGTACATGTTGGTTCTTGTTTAGTATTTATTTGATAATAAAATAGATAAAAACATTCATCCTTCTTCGTCTCGTTTTTGCGCCCCACTGCACTCCTCTTAAGTGGAGAGGCAACAAGTGTTTTTGACCTTTCTGTCAATCCATTGAACATCGCAGACTATGCAAGTCCATCAAATTTAGATCATTGTGACCTACATTTTCCTCTCCACTGGCTTTGGTTAGGTTGTGTATTTGGCTGCATTACTTTGTCATCAAATTCAACATGAGGATACATCTTGGAGTACTACACCAATATATCAAATTCTGCTTCACTGACTTGTTAGACATGCGTTCAGCCCCATTTCTTAGGTTAGATCTATATGTTAAGCTTTTTTAGGTCACCTGAGACAGAGTCTAAAGTGACCAATTGCGATCGCCTTTTGTCCGTCGTCGTCCGTCATCCGTCGTGCGTCCGTAAACAATTCACATTTTCGACTTCTTCTCCAAAAGCAATGAACCAATTTCAATGAAATTTTGCAGGAACCTTCCATGGACAAAAGTCAACAAAAATAGTTGCCAGTTTAGTCCCAAGCCCCCAGGGGCCTGAAGGGCGGGGCCAAAAAGGGTCAAATTGACTAAAATTTCAAAAATCTTCTTCTCAAGACCCAGATATGGTAAAATCAAATACTCTTCATAGATGGAAGGGTCTTAAGGTGCTTTACCAAAATTGTGAATTTCTTGACCCTGGGGTCTCACGTTTTCCCCTGGGGAGGGGGTAAACTTTACTATAGTTTATATAGGGAAATCACATTTTGGACCAACATTTGTTAACTTTCCATTGGAAGTAATTCAATTTAGGTTAGCATTATCAGTAT